CTTGTTCATATACGTTCTTGGCAGATGCTCCAGAAGTGGTTTGCCATTGCCTTCTTCTGTGTGTGAATGGAGTAATTGTTGGGATGCCACGGAGAAACCGGGGAAGCCCCCGGAGGAAAACTCCGTGTTGCCTAGACCACGGCCTTGCCCAACACAAGTTATAAATTCGGGCACCGCCGGGAATCGAACCCGAGACCCCAGGATTACAAGGCCAGCGTTCTAACCGCTAGACCAGCGTGGCACCATAGAATGTACACAACATTAATTAGATTTAATCAAAATCCGCATAGAATTTTTGTAAATGTGACTGAACATTTATACGTTTACGAGGTTCTTTTAAATTGAGACGCAGATACGTATAAAATCAAAATACTACGCTCCTAACACTTCATACAGTCGAAGACAGCCATTTATTTGCTAGGCCAATCAGCTGTCTGGTTGATTGTCAATCGTGTATTTCAGGTTGTAAATCCACGTGATGATTACCAACGTTTCGAAAAAATGTGTCGGTTTCATCTTCAGGTTTAAACACAATACTACAACGATTTGTTAGACGGTTAATCAGACAGCGTGTTTGTTGAACCGTCAACTAATTAGGTTAGCAGGCTAGATAATTTCTGCTGGAATTTATCCACGTCTAAGTGCTTTCGAACCACAGAGTTTCGGAAGCAAATTCTATTACGTCTTCAGGTGATGGGTTGCAAAGTCTGTTACAGACCTCTTACAGCTAGTATCAATGTTTCGACGATGGACAAAGCCATGCAGAATAATTACACACACGTAAAAACTAAGATCTTTAACAATTTAGGTAGTGAGAGAATGGAGTTCGCTAAAAACATTAATAAACATTTTCCACCTGCAGGTCTATCTATTTCTTTGGTACACTTTCGTAAAAAAAATCTGAAGGGGAGACAATTAGGTTAACCTCGGCTTACGAAGGAGGTTGACAGACTCCCTACTAAATTCACAGGCTAAAATGTACAATGCCTTATAATTTTTACGTTAAGAAACATCGCACAACAACCGTTATATACTCTTCATTGAAAACATCGGTCTTTATTTCGCACTTCTTCGTTGTCTCCTCTGCCCCATTATTTATCCCATACCTTCATTCCTGAGCGTGACTGTACCCCATTACATTGTTTATGCAAAGACCGTGTACAGTCAGGCCAGCGAGAGGCTCTTAGTCGGTTAATGCACGCGCCCTATTTCTGCACCAAGCCCTTTAAAGAAGAACAGCAGAAGAAACTTTACGTATTTTGTACTGGGGCTGCGGGGGATGGGGGTGGGACCTGCGAAATGTGAGGATATTTGGACCAAAGACGAATGAAGTGAAAAAATACTGGAGACGCTGAATGCCATTAGGGTGGCAGATGTAGAGAAGCCTCAAGGGAACAGACCACTCGCAAGACGTAAGTACAGACAAGTATAATATTAAAATGGATCTTAGGGACATAACGTGGGAGGGTGTGGATTAGGCTGACGTGGTTCAGGACAGTGACCAACCCCTGGTTATTTTGAGTCGGGGGACATCTTGTCCGGTTGAGCGATCGTTAGCTTCTCAAAGACTCTGCTCCATGGAATAAACTAGCTGTCTTGTTGGATTGAATCGGATACGTCGATACGTCCGATAACCGAGCATGAGGAACGCCCACTGAAACAGCCTGTACCTTGATGATGTCATTATCGTGTGCGAGGGGTTAATTACAGTAAGACTGCAGTCGTGTTTATTAGAGATGAACACAGTCCATGTGTTACATACAGACGGACAGACAGGCAGTGCAGTTCTGTAGTCCAGCCCTTATAGCACCGCGAACCCTCCCCGTCCTCAAAATCAAAATTGACTCATATATCGTGATCAAACATAATGGAGAATTTTTTAATTCTTCATTATTTTTACTCTAATGTGGACTTACAGCAGTTAAGGATATAAATTTAAAGAGTATTCTACTCAACTCGCGGACACATTAGAGAACAACTTGCAAACAACTGGATGAGAAACATACTTTACTATAAAGAGGATATTTCGATTATACATATTTCGAGTCCTTGTATAGTCCCACTGAATCATATTACCTGAAAACTGCGACGTTCATGGACGAATAATCTTGTAGACATAAATTATGTACAGTACAGTCACATGGAATATAAATTTGCGGTATACAAATATCTGTTAACAAGCCAGTTATAAACGTCTGTATTTTAAATTTTTTAGTCACTTTACCTCAATGCTGCGTACGAAATGGGAAATCTTGCCACACATACGCGCCTCTGGTCAAGATATAGAAACGTCTCCTCGGTGACTTTATCGCTAAAATAACTCGAACTGGGGTCAGAGTAAATGAGGTCACGGAGAAGACCAACGTGTATTAAAGCAGGTGAAGAACACGAAATGGGAGGATAACCTCTGTCAATCCAGCAGAGAACTCATCAGACCGCCAGACCGTGTTTACGATTTGAGTTCGCTAAGGCCGTAGTGTCACCCTAACAACTTCCGAAAAGAACTAACTTCACTGAGAACTTGAGCTAATCTAGTGGAAGTCCCCAACTTCTGAGGGAACTGAAGGCCCTCCAAAGGCCCCTATCAAGGACTACGTTTAATCAGACGTTGTCTATATTTACAGGCTGTCATAGAACAAAATAAATTACAAAAGTAAACGGCGTACGTCACTAAACAGCGAACTACTAACTCACAACAATTAATTTACGAAACAAAAATACTTCCAAAAATACGTTTCTGCTAATAGTATTGTCTACGGTCAGATTCGAACAAGGAGCCTTTTTACTTCCAAAAATACGTTTCTGCTAATAATATTGTCTACGGTCGGATTCGAACAAGGAGCCTTTGAATCGGAATATTATAATTACATGATTAAAATTATACGTTTTTTTAAAAAAAAATATTACTACACACCACGAGTTTGCTACGTCATTTCGTAATAAATAAGAGATATTTGAAGGCGGTGAAAACAGAACAGGGGAGATAATTGAGGCAATTGTGTTCTAAATTAATACACAAATTGTTTTTATATAAATGGGCAAGTTTTCACAAGACGTTTATTAAACGACGTATTATTTCGCCGTCCTCAGAATTTCATCCACACAGTACAACATGCAGGCAATTGGCACGCAAGTGTGTGGCAATGCAGTAACCACCTTTCAGGGGGGAAAAAAGTTGATAATTACCCACATGATGTAAAGTTCACGTTGTCCCCAGAGGATGGCAGAGTGGTATGACCTCACGAAAGTCAACACCAGCTCCTAACATTGCTACGAACCCATAGTCTCACACAGAAGCGAACTACGCCGACTGAAAGCTATTTATTAGCCACCTCTGGGACACATGTCACCAAGATTATTATACAGACAAAGAAAGCCTCGAAATGAACTGAAAGGAATAGCTCATAGGTTCTTTAACACTTGTATCGACTACAAAGCGAAATAACATGGTTTGTTTCCGGGAGCAATGTAAAATTAACCACTGCCTTACAGATGTGTATCGAGTAAAATTTCCATTCATTCTAAACCTCAAGAAGAATGGGCAGTTTAACGCCCGCGAGGCCGCTGCATCCGACAACCATGAAATGGACCAGAGAAGATCCAACGCACCTGTCATGAGGGGAGTAAAACCAACAAAAATGTATTAACAGACATCAAGATTACGTTGCTGGTACTTTTGAACGTTCTACGTGCAAGTCAGTGGATTGT